CTCCCTTTAAAATCTTTTTGAAGGAAGAACTGAAATGCTGGAGTTTTTATTTATTTGTTTGTTTGTTTGTTTGTTTATTTATTTATTTATTTATTTATTTATTTATTTATTTTCAAATTTGTATGCTGCCCATCTCCCCCACTGGGAGATTTTCACCTTCACTCAATTTTTTTTCCCGTTTTCTCCTCTTTAGAGGATTCGGTCTATATGGAAAACAGCGAGTGGCTGGAGGAATATGTCCTGAATGAAACGGGGAGAATCTACTATGGAACGGAGAGCCAGATCGGGGAACGGACGTGGAACTACGCGCAGGTAGATCCCTTTTCCCCTCCTTGCTCCAAAAATGTTTGAAAGGACTCTTGAAAGGACTTTTCAACACTCTTGAAAGGACTCTGGAGTTATGTCTGTACCTGCAAACGCTGGATCTCCTTTTGGACCCACTTGCTGTTTGCAGCTGGCAGCTGTTTTGTTCAGGTTGAAAAACTGAGCAGTCTACAAACAAGCGAGCAAACAATGTCTGATGCGATCATAGAATCATAGAAATATAGAGTCGGGAGGGACCTTGGAGGTCTTCTAGTCCAACCCTCTGCCCAAGGAGTCCTCATGCCATCTGGAACAAACGGTTATTCGATTGATCTTAAAAAAAAAATTAAGTTTTATTAGTGAAGCATAAGAAAGAAAGAAATAGTACATCCAATGTGAGGCAAACGTGTCTAAATCTCGCGCCAGGACAGGGGTGTCCACAGGGTGTGGTCAAGAAAGTCAAAATGGCAGCCACAATGGGGCAATTGTTGACCATGCCTTGTGGGCATTCCTGTGTCGGGTTAATTTCCTTGTCCAAAAATAAAAAGAGATGTGGAAAGCAGATCGTTCCCTGCTCCAATGACCTTCCTTCTTTTCTTCCATCAGTTTGACCATGGCATCCTCGATGCATGTTTGTTCATGCTGGATAAGCGCGGGATGCCTCACGTGAGCCGGGGAGATCCCATCATGGTTTCCCGCGTCGTCTCTGCCATGGTGAGTTGTGGATTGGTTCCCCCACTCGCTTCCCCCATCTATCTCTGGAGGATATTACAAAATCATCCCGACATCTTTCTCCATCCCCTTAGCTTTTCTAACGTTCTGTTGATAACCCTAACTCTGCCCTCTCTTCTCCCCGGGTTTTCTTTTTTCAAATTTCACAACAACCCTGTGAGGTAGATTAGTCTGAGCATGAGTGGGTGCTCTACGGTTATTCAGCGAGCAGAGAAAAGGATTTGAATCCTTATAAATCTGGAGCATCGTTTTCACTGCAAAACAGACTGTGATCGTGGATCCAGGATCTTGTTAAAGAATGGAAAATGCCAATTATTGTTTCGTTTACCTTACTGTATGCTTTTCATTTCTTTTGCCCATAATTTCCTCTGTTGCTTTAATAAATTCTCCCCATCTCTTCCCTTCTTCGAGATATCCCCCCATTTTACTCTCTGTATTCTACATTTTCCTTCCTTTTCCAAATGTATTCCTTCCTCTCTCTCTCTCTCTCTCTCTTCTCTTTCTCCCCGTGCATTACCCTAACTAAATAAATCCAAGTGCAGCTATTCTTTAGCAGCTGAGTAAAACGTACACCCTGTTGTAATTCCTTGTGGTTCATTCCAGAGTGGAAAAAACTTTGGACTGAATTTGCCTAGGGAGCATTTTGGATATGCCCCGAGAAGTATGGAATGCCCTGTCCCAAATCTGCTTCTGTTTTTACTCACATTTGCAAGACTTGTCAATAAGTCTGCTCGCTATTTTTTAAAAGAAAGGGCACAGGGGGAAAAAATCAGAGGTGCCTCGTTTCTCTGGATGTGTACACTTAACTAAGATTACTTCACCTAAGTATCTGCAGGAATGCTTTTAAACTTGATCCAATGTATGAATTAATAGATGTGGATCTTGCATGGCTGGTTTGATCAGCATTAAGCCTGCTTCTGTTGTAAGAAGTCCCACAGATCCAGAAGATGCCTTCTTTGTGTTTGGAGACTGCCGCCACTTAATTGGCGCATATCTCTTGCAATAACGAGGAACAGGATGCTGGCTTCGCTTCTCATTGCTTAATCAGACCGATTGCTCTATCGCAGTGCCAGATCATCCTTGCCATGCAATGCCTGAAGCACACGCAACGTTTTGGGAATGGCCATTATATATTGGAAACGATCACGGCCTGCTCCTCCTGTAATTCGTTTCCTCTGACCTCTCCTTTTCCTGTTGCTTTGCTTGCTCAGTGATGGGTTTGCCCCCGAGATAATCCTTCTGGCTGCAATCCATAAAACACTCGTGCCACAATAAACTTTAAAAATGTTGCAAGTCTTGAGAAACCGTAGAGAGCCACAGAGATGTCTTTGGAGCAACTGTGCGAAAGGGCTACAGAAGCAAAGCAGGCGCTGAGCACGGGAAAAAGAGACAGCCTTAGATTTATTTTTTTTTCAATGCTTCATGTCTTGTTTTCTGTATTTCTTCACTGTTGGCCCACCTTTTGTAATTCTGTGGGGTTTTTTTCTAATTTTCTTACAGAATAAAATAAGTTTAATTGGAAAAAAAGGAGGAGGGAAGGAAAAATGCAGTCAGGCTTTCAAATTCTGTTCCTCCGCCCCAGTGTTTTTCCACCTTGGCAACTTTAAGCCATGTGGACTTCAACTCCCAGAATTCCCCAGCCAGCCATGGGGGTGGAATTCT